CGACGCCGAGAGTGGACGCGCTACTACTTATACCTTAGTGATGGATGACTATAAATAGAAGAACCCCGAAACTCTCCTTACCTTGTTATATACTAGCAAAAATGCACGTGTGTTGCAATGGAAGAAACAAATCTTCCATTTTAGCTCGTGAGTCCGTGCATTGTCATGGAAAAATACTTACATATGTGGTGATATCCAGATTCATCTTAAGAAAAACTTAATTATCTATTTGTTAAAGTATCATACATGCATTTGTCTACATAACAAGATACATAGTTGAATGCCCATGCATTGCTATGGAGAGAGAAAATCAACTCATTACAACTTGTTTATTTCCCAATTAATACAAGGCACCTTGATCACCCTGAACTCTCTTGTCACCCAAGTAACATAAATCTACTTTAGTCACGACTCACGAGCAACGCCGGAAAAAAGTCTCTGATGAAAAAAATTGTAGACCACAAGTACTTTGGGATGCTAGTTTGGGAAGAGGGTATGTATTCCCGTCCTTGACAACCTAAATTTGTTTATAGCCTCCTAGATATTTCCGGAAACATCATACATCAATATCAGGGTTAGCAATCTCAACTGTGGTATTATCTGAATCTCAATGCAAAAATTCAAAACATGCATCCTAGCTACCTACTTATGCTTCTCAACTTCACATACATTTAAAGTAAACAACTGAGCATTTTTTCCATGCTGAGAAATTAAATGGGGTTACATTAGCAATTCAGTAGACCAGACAAAATCTGAGTTTATACATACACTACAATCCATTCTGATCTATATGTTGGAGTTACCTAAACAAACATTAATAATATCAGCTGGCCTGATCAACATATAGAATACAAAACAAACAAACAAACAAACAAACAAAAGTACCATAGCACCACAAATCTTCACATACAATATTACCTAACTAATATCGCAGCTCAAATTCTTATGCCGCTTTTACAGTTTATTTCCTTCGTTTCCTCCTTCCCATCAGGCCAAAGGCCCATTTGGCCGAAACAAAAGCCCGCCCGGCTATTATGACGCACGAAGAAATGGACCGGATCATCAAAAAAAGAAAAAACAGGTGCTGCTAGTCCATATCAGTTACGTCTAGGTTTTTTGGCTCAAAAAAAGTTACGTCTAAGATTCACCCCTCAAAAAGAAGTTACATATAGGATTTGTATATGCAATCGCACATCGCTGCTACCTCCTCCTTGCGATAACCACGATCGGACGAACAGGTAATAGAGCTGTCGAAGCTGTAATTCCCGAATTTTCCTTTTCCCTCCGTCGTCTATCATGATTTCTATCTCTCTCTCGCTCATAAGAGGAGGACACCAAGGCCATGGAGCAACCCCTCGGAGCACCACCGACGCCTTGACCAAGGTGACACGCCATCGGCAGGCATTCCTCGCAGACCGTCTCTGTCTGGCGACCCAGTCCTCTGTGGGTCTGCTCTGTCCGCCATGGACGCTGACCTCATCCCCGTGCCTTCTCCCAAGCTTTCCGAAGCCGCAACCATGGCGCTGCCGCCCAGTGCCACGACGCCAAGCACAGAGGTCGGCTGCACTTGGACCCCTCCTCCTGGGACATCATCGGGCCACAACTGCCTCCCCGTTTTCTGCCCGAAAATATATAATAGAGCACCTGCACTCAGGCCCTCTCTATCTAGCCATTCATTTTCCGCATCACGATTTGTGCAAGTACATTTCTCTTTTTTGTTTCTTCCAGACAAAATATATCTTGAAGTTCAAACCTATGCAGCGTGGTAAAGCTTTCTAACTAGAATATAGGATAAGTCTTTCAGTTTTTTTGTCAAACTTAAATATACAAAATAAATTTTGTTTGATTAAAAAATCATATTATTAGTATTTATGTTGAACAAAAAATTCTGAAAGATTTATCATAGATTCTAGTTAGAAAGCTTTGCCATGCTGCAATAGTGTTTGATTTTTCCTGAACAAATATGCTTGTTGCTCTTTATTTAGCTTCACGGGACAATGAGGCGTGGAGGATGACGGCCGCGAGCACATTGCCGCAAGCTCACGGAGGGAGGTACACATCTCATCCAGTGGATCAATCCTGCTTTTGAACTGAGCGTAGCCGTTTGTTGACATTTGACGAAAAAGGACGCGCGACGTGCAGGGGCCACATATGGAGACCACATCGAAATATTTTCCGTGGTATCTTTCGCCTCCAAATTTAGATGGGAATCAAAAATTTCTCGGCGAGAAAATCCAATGGTGATGTCACCTGGGGCCCACCATGACTGGGTTAGATTAGGTTTTTCATCTTCATTTGAACTTTATAACCGGGACCAAATCCAAAATATCGAGAGCGGGACCTCAAAAATTTTGACACGAAGTTTGGGCGGGATCCGATGAATATCTACATCCGCAGACGTCGTCTCTAGCAGGAAATACCATGGCTAGTGGTTAAAATGATATAAATATGAACTTCGTATCACATAAAATAACAATTTACATTAATGATCTATAGACGATCAAGATTATTGTGGTTGAAATGAAGCCTATAAATCACTGGACTTTAAATATGTCAACATCAGGGGCAACAAGAGAAAAAAAATTACGCCATAATATTGGATGTGCAAAATTGTTGACAAATGCTAGTTTAGGACCATATATCCACAGTTCACATCCATAATTTTTGTGGGTGCATGCTCATCGGCCAGGTTGCAGGGCCGGCCCTGAGGGGGGGCAGGGGGGGCGACCGCCCCGGGCCCCCAAGGTCCAGGGCCCCCCGTCAAGTAGAACATATCATATTAGACATGTAGGACTTGTATTAGCCGCAAGGGCCTAGCAGCCACGCAGGGAGTCCATGAGATCGCGAGAAATTTCTGCAGCCGTGAGTTTCCTTCTGATGGCGAGTCCTCACGATCCCTGTCCCAGGCCCCCGGACGTGAGGCGAGGTGCTGCCGTCTGACGAACCGCCGCCGGGGTGCAGCAGGCCGACCAACTCCACTCCGCGCTCTGGTCTCCAAGCGCTGGATGCACACGCACGTCGCGAAGCTCCTCCTGCCGGACCCAGACAAAAATCCATATCGTGTTATCGCCGAGATCTGACCGATCCAAGGTTTGTGATATCTACAGTTTATCACTCTCCTTGTACTAACTAGATTTATAATGAGTTCACGGTCGCTGGTCTGTTGCACTGCGTGGCTCGATTTAATTTGCTCCGCCACTTGATCGTGATGCATCTCGTAAGATTCACAAACACAGGTCTAGAAGAACCCCATAATTCTTGCCCTGGCATTTCCCCCCGTTCCATGCATGTAGCGCCGGTCAATTGTCCTATATTAGCATTTTAAGTGTACTGCGAGGACTTTAGAAACGAGAATCTACGATAATTAAGTAATTTATCTTCGTATATGCATTCATGCATATATAGCTTTGCATTGTTTAAGCTTTCATATGAAGTTTAAAAAGTATATGTGTCGGGTAGCAAAAAAAATTTTGACATAAAAATTATTTTTTAGATGAATGTACAGGTTTATTGGTTACATTTCATACATATATATCAATTATTACTGCTATGCTATTTTATATGAAAGGGCCTTGAGTTTTATGTTCGCCCCGGGCCCTCAAAATCTCAGAACCGGCCCTGCCAGGTTGATGACGACTTGACGAGCGTGTAGCTGAGCTTTACATGGTTGTGGCTAGGCAGGCCGTCCGCGACGACGACATAGAGGTAAAGGTTTGGCGTTAGTTAATACACCAAATAGACGATGTATGTATATCATGAGGTGAAGATTTTGTTTTTGTTTTTCGCACCGAGGGCGCATGGATGTACTCTCTACGTTCCTAAATATAAGTCTTTGTAGAGATTTCATTGTGGACTACATACGAATATATGTAGATGCATTTTACAGTATAGATTTACTTATTTTGCTCCGTATATGTAATCTATAGTGAAATCTCTATAAAGACTTAGCGCGGGGATGGAGGGACTAGTAGCTAGCATGACCAAAACGCGCGCGGCACTCGGGGACGTTTGAGGTCTGCGTTAATCAATGGGTCTTCTCTATCCATGTGCGCGGCGCCCAGACATCTGCCGTTTTCTTTTCTACGCTTGACTTGTGGTCGATCGTCCATCTGATTTGACCCCATCCAGACCAGTTGGCGCCGCAGCCAATCGAAATTGTGTAGGCCGGCACACAAGAAATGACTTGCACGCACGTACGTACCTTGTGAACAAATGCCTTTCTTCCTTGCGTACCTACTGCACGCGCGCTCTAACTCTTTTTATATATATAGACTTGGCCAGACGCTCTAACTCTTCACAACAACCAACAATCACTGTAACTAACCAGAAGAAGAAGCAGAAACGATGGCGTTCCGACGCCCTTCATGTGTCCTACTAGGAGCTCTTCTCACCGTCTCCTTCCTCGCCGCCACGGCAACCGCCGGTGACCACGGCCTGACAGTCTTCTGGGGCCGGAACAAGGACGAGGGCTCCCTCGGGGAGGCCTGCGACACCGGCATCTACAACACCGTCATCATCTCCTTCTACAGCGTCTTCGGCCACGGCAGGTACTGGGGCGACCTCTCCGGCCACCCGCTCTACGGCATCGGCGCCGATATCAAGCACTGCCGGGGAAAGGGCATCGTCGTCCTCCTCTCCATCGGCGGCGGCGGCACCCAGTACTCCCTGCCGTCATCACAGTCCGCGGCCGACGTCGCCGATAACCTGTGGAACGCGCACCTCGGGGGCGGCCGCCGCGGCGTGTTCCGCCCGTTCGGCGACGCGATGGTCGACGGCATCGACTTCTTCATCGACCAGGGCGCGCCGGACCACTACGACGAGCTCGCCAGGCGTCTCTCCGGCTACAACCGGTACTACCGCGGCGCGCCCGGGGTGCGGCTGACGGCGACGCCGCGGTGCGTGTACCCGGACTGGCACGTCCAGAGGGCGCTGGACACGGGGCTGTTCGAGCGGATCCACGTCAGGTTCTACGGCGACGACCAGTGCTCCTACAACCACGTGTACAAAGACGGGGTGATGGCGCAGTGGAGCAAGTGGACGGCGAGGTACCCCCGGAGCAAGGTGTACATCGGGCTGGCGGCGGCGAACGTGCCCGGGAGGAACGACAAGGTCGGCCTTGGGTCCATGCAATATGACCTAATGCCCAGCGTGAAGCAGGCGGCGAACTACGGCGGGGTCATGCTCTGGGACAGGTACTACGACAAGCAGACCGGATATGGCCGCGAACTCTACAACGGCGGCATCAACTAATAATCTACACGCATGCATGCATTATAGTGTGTGTGTGGCAATAATAATTTAAACACACCTGATGTGATTAGTGGCATTGTATTGTACGAATAAATCAGAGATCCATATAGGGACCGCTGGATGTTTCAACATTTCGTATCTGAATTCAACACCCTTTAACTCTTATACCATGTAGAAGTGCATGTTCTAGCCAATCATTTAATAAAAAAGACTAGACAATATATTTTTACGTCAACAATGACCATTTTAAAAAAATGCAATCATTCTGTTTAAATATGAACTTCTTATGAACAATTTTATAGAAAAGTGAACATGATTTAAAAGCCAAAAAGAGGCCAACAAAACAAATTAGCCGAAAACCAGCCACCGGTGAAACGCTTACTAGGCATCTAGTGCATCCTATTCTCCTCCTAATTAACTAGGGGCAAATGGTAAGGGCATCTTCAAAGCTGACTCTCAAACTGCCTGCAACCATCCGGATTGCATGTTCTGGACCTGTTTTGTCATCCAAAGCAGGCGTGTATCGGTTTGTCGATCGGTCCGGACGTGATTTTTCCACAAACCGGAAACATGCTGGGGGGTGGGGGGGGCTTTGCGGGAGTCCGGACCGCTCCCACGTCGGCTTCTGACTGCCCTGACCCACCCAAAAAACCTCCCGCCTCCGCACGCATTCCCACCCGAAGTGGTCAGCTTTGCTCCAGAGCGTCAGTGTTGTATTCATCCCCGCCCAAAGCAGACATGCTACTCATGTCACTCCGCGCATTGAACCGGCACGCCGGCTGAGAGCGTCGGTCGCATCGCTTTCCGGTGCACATGACTCCTCCGCATTCAAACGACCACATGTCTTTTCGCCTTCCTACATTAAACATGTGTGGTTATTGAGGAACCTACTACGACGCCACACGTCCGTCCCTCTGTCGGCCACCATTAATTACCCAGCCGCTTGCCCTGCCATCTCGACACTATTTAAACTCCAGCCCCGGACATAGCCGCATCCATCCATCTCCCCTCCCTTTCTCCTCCCCACACCACGCCCGCCATGTCCTGCTCGAGCTCCAAAGTCATTTGGGACAGCATGTCATACGAGCTGAAGATGGAGATCGCCGTCGTTGCTTCTGACTGGCAGGCCGACAGGTCGGCGCCGCGGACGTCCCAAAGGAGGACGCGGTCGATGAAGAGCCGGCGCCACCCAACTCGCCGATCCATCCCGACATTACCATGGTCGAGGCCCATTCTCACTACACTGAAAGGATGAGTAGAGCATTGGAGGTCGCCGGCGCTCGGGCCCCGGGAAGGCAATCGCTCTTTTGTTGCCGTTGAAGCCAAACTTAGCAGGCTCATCATCGTCGGCCAATTAGCCGCTTGCAGATTGCGGAGGCGGAGCTTCATTTTTTGGGGTTCATGGACATGGGGAATGGGCGTTGACGGTAATTTACGCTAAGTTTAGAATCTGGTCTTGTTCAAATATGTCGAAAATCATCCGATTTTATGTAAAAATTATACAAGTATAAATAAAAATCGTCCGGGTTGTTTAAATATGCATCAAAATTGTGCAATTTCATTAAATTTGGACCAAAAAGCAACCAAACATATGCGGCTAGCTTTGGATCGCCGGCTCCCTTATGAGTGTTCACAAACGGATCTGGTGTCCGGTTTGCAGGTCGGCGTTGGAGATGCCTAAGGGACTTGTTGTATGTATGGTATTGACATATCGGAGCAGAGCACAAGTGATCTTGAAAACCCCTTGACTTTATTACTAGCCTCATCACAGCTGACTATAATGAGCGTGGAAACTGGGTTCTCGGATTCTCAAATTGTCACGTGTCTCTCTCTGTACTTAACAACGATGTTGAGATCCCCTCAACGAAAAAGAAAAAAAATATATTATCACTAAACAAACTGATCGATATCACTCAGTCCACTGGATAGAGCGTAGCATACCTTCTACTCCTCTGCATGGGCGGCGCTGGTTTCTCTTTGGGTCGCGGCAGTGGTGGCTGCGGTGGAGAAGGTTCCGCATTTTTGGGTTGTTCGAAGTAGTGCGGCGACGGTGGCCACGGTGCGGTCGACGGTGGAGGATACATGAACGGCGGCGGACAAGGTTCCTCCTTTTTGGGTACCGGAAGCGGGCACGGTGGAGGAAGTCCCCGTTTCTTATCATCTGGAACGCATCGGCCAATCTGAAACGGGCCAACATGTTCTGCCAAAATCCAGACGACGGTCGTGAGCTCGCCCCCTCGGCTGAGCTGCCTGGCATGGGATTCCCGGCTGCATCGGGTGCCCGCGTACAGCAGCTTGTCCACCCACACGTTGAAGACGAGCTCCAGCACCTCCGGCATCTCCGACTCATCGGCCTCTAGCAGCGCCATGGCAATATTTGCTCCGTCGGAGACGAGACGGGTTTTATCATGATCCAAACCCCACTCGCTATCTGCATCCATCTTGTCATGCAGAATCCTTGCAAGCTTCCCCTCCCTCTCCTTGCCGGTTGTCGTCAAACGGGAACGGCTGCTGCTGACGGCCTGTTTGCGCCAAATGTCCTGCAAAGCATCGAAGGTTACTTCGTACAGGCTGCGGAGAACGAGGCCCGGTAGCATGCGCGGGCGTACGGCGACGAGGAACATCAGGTACTCGGACAGCGCCTTGACCGCCTTGGCATGTGCCGCAGCTGCGCTCTTGCCATGCATCAGTGATTGACCGCCGCCGCCGCCGCACATGAGGAAAACTTGGGTGGCGATGTGCCACACAAGGACGTCCTCCTGGAACTCACGGCCAAAGGCCAGCTGGAATCTCCGCAGTTTCTTCTTCTTCTTCTTCTTGCTTGAGCTCCGGATGTTGCCCAGGTTGCCTTGCCATAGCGCCAGTACCCTCTCCACATACTTGACAACACCGACGGCGAGAATGGTGATGGATGATGGAAGCAAGGCCCTGTCACCGCCGCGCAGGTATATGTGCTTGTACACGACATAGATGGCCCCGCCGACCTGCACCAGCACGTTGAGTGCTTGCCGCCCTGACAGCACGTTGTCCTCGAGGGAGTAGGCGCTGATGTTGTCTGGGCCGCCGAGATGCTGCAGGAGGAACGGCGCCCAGAACGCGACCAGCTGCGGCTTCTCCTGGGACGTGCTGCCCATGGACAGGCTACCGAGGGCATATGCCGAGGCCCAGTTGGCCAGCTGGTACGCCAGCCACAGAAGGAGCGTTCGCCCACCGGAGGCTTTACGCCGACGGATCCCGGCGAGGAGGATGAGGCCAAGATGCGCAGCAAAGCTTAAAAGGACCGCTGTCCGGATCATCCCAGTCTGGTTCAGCCATCCTTCCATTGGACCTGCACTGAGGTCAAAATCAGATAATCATGTTCCATATGTAATAATTAATCATGTACACTAAGTGAACAGGGGATGCAATGGTACTTCTACAGACACTATGATAGGGTGCAAAGTATGTCAGTGAGCCGCCTAGCTACATCAACAATCACTAGAATGACCTTAATTTCTTTTAGATATACTCCTTCGGAAAAATAAATCAGTAAATGTTTGCCCATTTCATCCTAGCAAACCAAGATTTTTGCTTATCATCCTGGTTTTCTACGAATCGGGATGTCGGAATCCCCAAATCACATCTCATCCGAAGAAGAAAGAAAAAATCATTGGTTGCGCGACAGGTAGAAGAAGAAAGTTTTGACCAGTTGGCAAAGTTAGGAGCTACTGCACAAAGAATGAAAAGAAGAAAGGATCCGTCTAAACATAACGCAGTCAGCCGCGAGCTTGGAAGAAGCAAGAACACAATGGCGGGCTGGTGGCAAAAAGCGGCCATGAACCCATCAAGCGATTCACTGAAGAAAAACAAACTCCACAGAAACCATAGCCTTGACTTGGAGCTTACCTCCCTGTGTTGGGCTTTTGGACGCCGGCGGGCGACCTTTCAGCCGCGTATCTCGTCGGCGGCGGGACCAAGTGGCCGAGGTAGCATTGACAGAGTGATGGTAGCACGAAGCAGCAGTAGCACAGCAGTCCTTCACTCCCCGTGGAACTAGATGGAGATGGTGGAGCGATGTCTATCAATTTAGCCGTCTTTGCCTATCAATCATTGTACGGCCCAAACCCAGCACCTCACGTGCATTGCGAACCCAATCCAGCAAGCATTTGATCGGAAAGAGCTGCCCACCTAACATGTTTGGTTAAATTCGTCTCTCGTGTTAATCGATGCTCATAATGAATTTGTTTTCGAAAATTTGTGACATGACGTTGGCAAAATAAAAAAGATGACTAAGAGAATAAAAGTGTTCACATCTTCAAAAAAATGGTCGCAAATTTGAAAATTTGTTCATGTTTTTTAAAAAGCATTAATATGTGGAATAAAAAGGTCTAATAAATATTTGCAAATTTAGAACAATTTTGCGTTTTAAAAAATGTTCAAGTTTTCTAAATGTGATAGCTTTTTTAGAGATCTTTTCGCTATAGCGGCCCTGGTTTCTACAGTGATCCCAACAAATGTCTGCCCCCAATTCGCTAGAATGTCTGATCCCTGGATTGCTATGGTACACATACATCTCGCTCCTGCCTCTCGCAATGGACCGGCCCACCAGGACGTCTCCCCTGTGCGGCAACCCTACTTTTCGGCGCGAAGAGCACCAAATAGGAGGTCCTAGCAAGAACATACCTACGAAAAACCATCCACTGCGAAGTGCTTAGTGGGTCAGGCAACCTACTACATCCCGATAGGCGAGTCTAGCAATCGCGCCTGCACTCTTAACCTACACTAGCCTCATCTTGTGGATCGTTGTTGTGGAGCAGGCCTGCTCAAGCACGCAAATCCTATTTGCCACATTAAGCGGCAAACTATCGAGGCTACGCACACCTCAAGTCCATCAAGAGTGATAGATGGGTCGGCCCACTAATACGTGTGAGAAATATGTGCGTAGCCTCGAAAAATGCAATCTTCTGTTTTGCGCATCTTTTGCTGACGGGACACGGATAGTCTAACACATTGATGCATTC